TAAATAATACAGAAAAAAATTATTAAAATACATTTCAACGCCACCATTGTTGGCAGAGACTTATTAACGAGAAACTTTTTACTAGAATTCTAGAATTTAGGTAAATGATACAGAAAAAAATTATTAAAATACATTTCAACGCCACCATTGTTGGCAGAGACTTATTAAAGAGAAGCTTTTTCATTAGAATTCTGGAATTTAAAGAAAATAATACAGAAAAGAATGATTAAAATACATTTTAACGCCACCATTCTTATGTTGTGTTCAGTCGCTGCTATCCTTATACATAATTACTAATTCAAGATTTATTCATTGTATACCGTACCTTTATAAAATCAATATGTAATTATGCGATAGAATTTTGAAGGCAAAACAAAATAAAACTCTCGGTAGAAATGTGAAGGAAAAATCAAAACGTAGTCTTTTTGTTAGCGGCCATGTTTTTAAAGCGATGTGGTAGCGTTGTAAGTCCGCAGACATACCGCTGTGCTACTGGGGGCCAGCATTTAGTAATGACAGTAACTTGATGAAACTAAGAAAAGGTGCTTCTCTTTACTGTGGTGTTAAACTTTAAGATACTTCATATATATGGGGGCCAGCATTTAGTAATGACAGTAACTTGATGAAACTAAGAAAAGGTGCTTCTCTTTACTGTGGTGTTAAACTTTAAGATACTTCATATATAATCCTATTATTGATGTAATGATGAAAAGTTCGATGCCTTACCCTTTTGTAATTTACTCGTATAAGCTTATCTTATGCTTACAGTAAATCTTAAATCTAATGTTGAAAGTAAAAAATTGAATTCTGCTTTTTTTTGTTTGCCCTCATCTACTACCCTCCCACATCTGACAGGTTTCACTTGCAAGCGAAAATACTTTAAAGTACTTGTTTATATAGAATTAAAAAATCAAAAGAATTTATTTTAAGGCAAACTGTGGTCATTATGGACACACCAACATAGAATACCCACGATCTGACGTGGGTTCAAATGCCCTTCTTGCCATTCACAGAAGCTTCAACATACCGATCAAGCTCCCCCATTATTTCTCTAGTTACCCGAAGGGGGGGGATCCATACCCACAAACAACAACGACAAGAAAAACTGTTAGGACACTCGCCCATGGTGTCTAAGTACTTGTATCAAGGTTGGCCCCTGTGAGGTATGAAAACACAGTTTGAAAAGTGACGCCACAGAGAGGAAGAAGAAACACAAAATCCGATGCGAAACTCGAGCTCAGAAACCCTGCTAATTTATTCTAGTCTGGATGACCTTCCAGGAGCATTTCAGCCGTCCCCTTTTGCAAATTTGGTCCTGCTGTCTCCGCAACTGTGAGAGTTCGCACACAACAAATTCACTAACTCGTGTGTGAATTAGTATAGAATAATGTGTTTTCCGTTCTATACTTGATGGCACTATACTTCAGGCAGTTTTTGTTTTGTTTATTTTCCTTGCACTTATGTTTAATTTCCCTGTAAAGTTATAACACAATTTGCACACTACGGAATGACCACATAGAAACCGTTTTGAAGGCAGTTCTATTAATGCCTTAATATCTTATGGGACACTTCAAAGCAATTTCGAAACTTTAATGAGTAGACACCTTGTCTGTGTAGTTTAACACGCTTGCCAAGTGGATGATTTATATGCAATTACAGAAAATACTTTATCCCAGGGAAGATTGTCTGTACA